CTGCCTCCATGTCGGGGTAGTGTGAGTGGCGCCCCCCCCCTCCGTGATCCGCTTGCGGCAGTTGGCCGCGCCCTTGTAGACGCCCGCTTCCGCCTCCGCACACCAGCGTCTAATGCAGGCGATGGACGCGGTTGACTCCACGCTCGTCTTCTTCAAGGAGCCGAGCTCCTGATAGCGGCGCGCCCACTTAAGCTTCTCACGCACGGTCCAACTGCGGCGCTTCTTCGTAGTGTCTTTGCTGCGAGGGGAAGGTGGGCGGGTGTTGGGATTATGGAGGGTGGGGTTCCTCGGCGTTACCTTCTCAGGGAACGTGGGGATCGGGCCCGCCGCCGCCGCGTACTCATCGTCGCTGCCCAGCGGCTCGTTCATGACGATGTCGTCAGGATTCGGCGCCTTCTTCGCCTTCTTCTTAGCCGCACCCTTGCTGGATCCCGGGTCTCCGTCGGATGTCAGCTTCTTGTTGCTTGTGCGGCGACGAGCAGGGGCTTTAGCAGGGGCTTCCGCGACCTTGGCTTTCCCCTTCTCCGTAGCGGTGAGTATCGGGCGACGCTCCTCCCCTGGACCGTCGTCGTCAGAGAGCACCACGCGGGCCCGCTTTGACTTGGACTGTAGGCAATGGCGCAGCCTCCGCTTCAGTAGCGGGACGTCGTCGTCGGTCCCAAAGCTCTATGGGTCGTCGTCGCCGCCTTCCTCGCCTTCCGCATCCGCAACTGCGGCCGCATCCGCAGGCGCAAATGTCTCAAGTTCCGCCCCCGCCTCGTCGTCAGCCTCCTCATTCGCATCCACCGCCGCTTCCTGTGCATCCGCCGCTGCCTCCGCGTTGTTACCATGCGCATCTTTACCTCCGTCGTTGTCGGAATCACCAGCATGCCACTCTTCCACCTCGTCGTCGCTCCCGACCGGCCGATTCCACCAGTCATCCTCCTCGATGTCAGCAGGACCTACATCGTCGCCTGAAGCGCTGTCGTCGTGGCCGTTCTCCGGCCAATCCTCCTCGACGTCGTCGCAGTTCGCTTCGTCTCCGTCGTCCCCGTCACAGCTCGCACCGGAGGCGGCGGTAGGACTTGCCGCCTTGCTCGCGTTCTTCGCCATGGCTACACGGATGTCATCGCCGGGCGAGTTAATTCGCCCGTAATTATTAACCTGCACGTGAGGACGAGGTGAGGACTTGCCTACTGGTACTTTGCTGCGCATGGTTAGAGAGCCTGCCGAGAGCAAGGTTGAGACGAGTATTCAACCTCCTTGAGCACGAAATGAAGTGAGAGCCCGACTACCCCCCCCAGCCAGAGTGCCCCATCCACAGGTGCCGAGCCGCTCCTCTACGAGGCATCTCCTCGTAGAGGACAGCCCTCACGCTGCCAACGTGCTGCCAGCAGCGTTCTGGAAGCATCCATGCGCTCCTGACAGCAAAACGACGCTGGCAGCATCATTAGATGCTGCCAGCACAGAGGAATGTTGCCAGCGGTGGTAGCTCCCTCACGTGGAAAGTGTGGGCGCTGCATGCATCACCACCGAGGTCGGCCTGTTTAAATGAAATTGGTCTTTGGGTGGTTTCTACACACTTTGCAAGTGTTACAGTCAACTTATTTTTTTTTTCCATTTATAAGACTTATAAGACACCCTAAACCATCCCGTTTACAAGATAACTCTAGCATTTTTGCCCGTGTACGAGATAAGACATATATGTCTTATATCCGGGCGATGACGGAATGATTTTTTCTCAAAGCTTGAGCTATAATGTCTGGATAATTTGGAACAGTTTGTCCTGCTCCATCTGCAGACTCGGTAATCTCAGGGCAGAATGAGGAGGTGGGGGATGGAGGGGGTAATGAGGTGGGGGGTGGAGGGGGGAATGAGGAGGTGGGGGGTGGAGGGGAAAGGTGGAGTTTACGTAGTTAAAGCTTGTCATGTCGGCCTCGCTTTACCGTATTACCCCGGATATAAGCGCACCTGCGCTTATAATAAAACAGTGTTTTTTGGGGGGGTGCGCTTATAATTGAATCAGATATATAAGCGCATGCGCTTGTATAAGGGAAAAAATGAAATTCACTTTTAAACATACCAAAGTGAAGCTATCAATACGACGAACTCATCTGACCATGCACCAAGTGGGATCGTGCATGGTTTTCAAGCAGAAACAGCTGCGGTTCGGTTTCCCACCGCACAATGTTGTCTGGAACCATCGAACTTGACAGCGTGACGGGGATGTTGCCGTGCGGCCCTATCAGAGCCGCATGCGCTGCGTGGCATGTGCATTCGGGCAGAACCATCTCGAAGGTTCGGCAAGATTCCCTACCATCGCAGCGTAGATGTTTCCACACAGGCGCCTCTACGCGAGTAGGCGGGGGTTTCCTGCCTGTCATGGACAAAGAACCCGAGCCGCCACGCAGCAGGGGTCCCCGTCGTTGCCCATTTCTTCACGCTCTTCTCTAATTTTTTCATTCAGTTTCCTGTCTAGCCCACCTGGCATGCGAAGCCATGGCGGAATTTAGTGGGACTCACATCCTGTTCAAGAAAAAACTACGCCGCACATGGCAACTTACCGAGGACAGGTGGTATACCCGTGAGCCACCAGCGCCTCCAGAGCCACCAGCTGTGAAGAAGTGAGGAATGAATTGTCAGAATGTTCTTATCTAGCCTGTAGTGGGGTGCTCTATAGCGAGTACAACCCTGTTAGGGTTTGCTATTTGTATCCCCATTCTTGCTAGTCAACCGCTCTTCTTTCTTCTAATTTTTTCATGGTATCAGAGCAGGTCGATCCCCTTGGATCGATCCTGTGGGTGGGTTACCACCACCTCGTTGCTTCCGCTGCAACTTCCACTTCTACTCTCTGTCTCCCACTGCTGCAGCTGCCGCTGAGGGGGGTGGGTGTGTGGGAGTCGCTGGAGTCGTGCTGGGGGGTGGGGTGTGAGTGACCCTAGGGGTGCAGTAGGGGGTGTGTGCAAGGGGGGGTGAGACTGTTTGGCGAGCTGAATGAAGGATGCCGCAGTGTCGCTAGCAGCACCTGTAGTCCGGGGGCTTCGTCCGGTAGCTCAGTCGTAGCCAGCTGTGCCAGCCGCCCGCGGGTCCGTTGCTCGTCTGCCGCTACTTTAGCCGCGGGGCCAGTTACCCCTGTAGTCCGGGGGCTTCGTCCGGTAGCCGCTGTGCCAGTCTGCCTCCTGTTGCCCGTGTGTCTGCAGCTTCATCCGTCGCCTTCTATCTCCTTTCCTCTCACTCTCGCCTCCTCCTCCTCACTTGCCCTCTGCGATAGCCTCTAGCTTTGCTCATAATTCTTAACTTTAAACTATTGCTTCTTGAACTTGTGCTCAGAATGTGTGGTGACATTGTGATCCACCCTGAGCTTGTACTGCTTTGCTTGCTCTGCTGATTACACCCCACTTTGGCTATGGGGGTGTGTCAGAATGTTCTTATCTAGCCTGTAGTGGGGTGCTCTATAGCGAGTACAACCCTGTTAGGGTTTGCTATTTTTATCCCCATTCTTGCTAGTCAACTGCTCTTCTTTCTTCTAATTTTGTCATGAATGAACTGGGAACGAAAACCTAGAAATGTTGTACCCCATATTCTCTACCCCACTACAGCCTACACAGACTATAGCATATGAGTTTGACACACCCCCATAGGCAAAGTGGGGGAGAACAAGAGGTCACAAGACCAGTCAAGCAAAGCAAAGCAAGCTCAGGGTGGATCACAACGTCACCACACAGTCCGAGCACAAGAGCAAGGCCACAAGGCCAATTCACATGCAAGATCATATATAAAGGTAAACAAGCAAGTGCAGGTATAGAAAGATCACAGTACAAGCAAGGTCAAGAAGTGAGCAAGTGAGGCCAAGTAGGCACAAGACCTAGAATCGTACAGAAGCGCTGATGATCACAAGGCGGAAGTGCTTTGGTAAAGATATCAGCAGTGTTGGCCTCAAAGGCCACGTAAGCAAGGCGCAGCTGACCACGCTGCTGCAGCTCACGAGCAAGGAAGTAGCGAAGAGCAATGTGCTTCGTTCTGTTTTCCAGTCTGTGCTCCCGACACAAGGCCAGCATGGCCTTGTTGTCTACGTACAGAACTGGAGGAGAACGAGGCGGCTCTCCTAGGTCAGTCAGCAGGTAGGTGAGCCAGCGTAGCTCCTGTGCAGCCATGGCCCCCGCGTAGATCTCAGCCTCACAGTTGGAGCCGAGAACAGAAGACGAGCGGGTAGACCGCCACGAAACAGAGCCGGAACCAAGGCTGAAGGTGTAACCCTGTGACGACCGCTGCGTAGCCTGGTCGTCAGCCCAAGAAGCGTCTGCGTGACCTATGAGGACCACTCAACGTCGCCCTCCAAGCACTAGCCCCATGTCCAACGTGCTGCACAAGTAGCGCAACACCCTCTTTGCTGCAGCCATGTGCTCTGGTCGGTGTCTCCTAGGAGCAACATAGCGTGCCAAGATGCTAAGAGGGTATGCAAGGTCAGGTCGTGTGCAGGTCATCAGGTACATGAGGCAGCCAACAAGCTCTGGGTACGGGCCACTCGGCTCTACGGACTCATCCGAAGGCAGAGCTGAGAGCGAGTGGCGAGTAGACAGAGGAGTGGCCTGAGGCGAGGAGTACGTGAAGTCGAAGCGCTGAAGGACCTGCTGCACCATGTGTCACTGAGTCAGGGTAATGGTGCGCTGTGCTCTGTCCCGGGTGATCTGCAAGCCAAGGTAGCTGAGCAGTTCACCCAGGTCTGTGCACGTGTGTCTCTTCTGCAGCTCGGACTTAACGTGGGCGAGTCCAGCAGTGTCAGCTGTGGCAAAGACCAAGTCGTCGACATCCACGAGGATGTAGAGCGGCGGCAAAGAGGTGTCGGTGCGCAGAAACAGCGACGGGTCGGCTTTAGAAGGAGCAAACCCAAGAGCCGCAAGTGTAGTCCTCAGTGTGTCGTGCCACTCATGGGGTGCCTGGCGGAGACCGTAGACTGGCCGCCGGAGACTCCACAAGGTACCAGGAGGAAACGACTCAGTGAAGCCAGGTGGGCGGCGCAGTTAGATCTCCTCGTGCAGGCTGCCCTGCAGGAACGCTGTGCTGAAGTCAAGAGAGTGAAGCTCGTAGTCGCGCTGAGCGGCTATGTGCAGCAGCACCCAAAGAGTGGTCATCTTTGGGGTGGGAGAGAAGGTCTGAAAGTAGTCAACTCCCTGCCGCTGACTGAAGTCTCGAGCCACGTAACGTGCCTTGAAGACCGGCGGAGAACCCAGGGACCGCTTCACCCTGAAAATCCACATGCCACTGACGATGTTCGCCCCAGGTGGGGGAACCTCGTCGACGTAGGTGCCTGTGGACTTCCAGGAAGCCATCTCTGCATCCATGGCTGACTGCCACTGAGAGGAGTAGGGACCCTCGATCGCCTCAGCGTACGATCGAGGAGTCGGGATGTCTGGTGCATCCGGGTCTCCCTCAGGGGCAATCAGCGTGGACACGAGATGAGGCAAAGCAGCAGCAAAACACTGGAACTCCTCCCGCCTGTCCTCAAGGACGTCCGTGCTAAGAGCACACTCAACCCCAACAGACGGAGGACAGACAGACTCAGACTCGGCAACAAGACTAGCAGCGTAGTCTAGACAACAGCGAGCAGCAAAGTCGACAAGCTCAGTAACGAGGGCCGACGCAGTAGTGTACTCAAACGAAGGGTCAGTGACAACAGTGGCCAGGAGACGCGTGACAATAGGACTGGCAGCACGAAGAGAGTCAGACTCTGGGTCATGAAGAACAGGATGAGAGGACTCAGGAGGAGACGACAACGGGACACGTAGAGGAGCAGTGGAAGGACGCAGCGCCATCTGGTGTGTGCCTGGAACCGCAGGAGGACGCGGACGCGGAGCACGACCACTAGTGCGAGCAGCACGAACAGGCAACGCAAGACGAGACGCAGGCTCACAACGCTCAGCAAGACCTCTAGTAGGACTAGTGTAGGGAGAAGGAGCAGGTAGGGGGGAGGCGGGCTGTAACTGTGACTGCGACTAGACAGGCGGTGGACACTCTAAGGGAGGAGCAGGACCAGTAGAGGGCGGGAGACCAAGAACCTGCTCAAGGAGCGGAACGAAGTACGGCCGCAGCCGCGCAGCGCTTCCAGAATCAGCAGGGACAGCACCAGTACTCCGAGCGGCAGCACAAGCGTCAGTAGCACCTCCAGCTCCAACAGCGCCAACTCTAGCACCCTCAGACGCACCAGCGCCAGCAGATGCACTAGCGCCAACAACCCCAGCAGCTCCAGCTCCGGCAGCTCCAGCAGCACCAACTCCAACAGGACCGGCAGCTCCAGTACCGCCAGCACGAGCACCTCCGGGACCAGCAGCAACAGTAGTACCTCCAGCTCCAGCAGCACGGCTCCAGCGCCGGGCAAACCACTCGCGCAGCTCCTGTGGAGAGAGTGGCTCCCGCCTCGACAATGCACCGCGAGAGGCCACACGAGTAGACCCAGCACCCCCAAGCTCCGCACCCCCAGGCTCAGCACCCCCAGGCCCAGCACCCCCAGACTCAGCACCCCCAGGCTCAGCACCCCCAGGCTCTGCACCCCCAGGCTCCGCACCCCTTGACTCAGCACCCCCAGGCTCCGCACCCTCAAGCTCAGCACCTCCAGACCCGGCACCCACAGGCTCAACACCACTAGCAACACCAGAGTCAACAGCTACCTCGACAGGCTCGGCTGCGTCTACCTAGGACACACCTGACGGGGTAGGACCCTGAGGGGGGAGGGGGTCTACCGGGGGAGGACCTGACGCAAGGAAGAGCGGCGGCGGGGGGAGGGGCGCAGTGCGGTAGGGGAAGAGACGGTAGTAAGGCACCGACTCGTCAAAGGTGACGTCCTGGGAGGACAGAACAGGACGCAAGGTGGGGTGGTAAAACTGCCACCCAGGCGCGTCAGGGGGGAAGCCAAGGAAGACGCAGGGAACAGCACGGGGGGACAGCTTGTTCGCAGACAAGTCGCGGACAAACACCCGAGATCCCCAGACCCAAAACGCAGACGCATCGCCAACCTTCCCGGTCCACCGCAAGGTGGGGGAGGTCTCTGGCAAGGAGACCTGGGGCTGAAGGTTGAGCTGATGCGCTGCGTACTGAACCGCAAACGGCCACAGAAAATGGGAAGCAGCCGCATGGATCATGGACGTACGAGCGACGTCCATGACCATGCCAATGCGGCGCTCAGCAATCCCATTTTGCTGTGGAGAGGCCGGAAGCGTGAAGGTCTGGCGGATGCCCTGTGCACGACAGAAGGCTCCTAGACGGGCAGAGGAAAACTCCCCGCCTCTGTCAGAGTGCAGACGCAAAACAGGAAAGTCCGACCCGAAACTCTCTCTGAGCTGGAGACGAGCTGCGCGGATCCAGTCGATCAACACCTTAGCGACGTCACCCTTGCTGCGCAAGGGGAAGACTGTGGTGTAACGCGAGTAGTCGTCAACCACCAACAGGAAGTAACGCTCGTGCCCCTGGCCATGGACGCGGGCGGGGCCTCATTCGTCCATGTGAAGAGTCTGCAGCGGAGCCTCTGTCGGAGGAAACTTGGAGGTGTGAGGGGCGGCGCGGTGTCGCCCCTCGACGCAGGGGACACAGGTAGGGGCAGGCCTCGGAGGTAGGGGAGGGAGAGACCGGGGGAGACCAGAGACAAGGACACGGGAGGCCATGCCTCGGAGACGAGGCAGGGAGGGGTGACCAAGGCGGTGGTGCCAAAGGAGAGTCTGGTGGGACAGGAGACGACACGAGCAGGGAGCAGACTCAGGACCAGACCTGGACGCTGCAGCAAACACCTGACTCGACGCAGCTATCTGACCAGACTCAGGAGCCGGAGGAGACTCAGTAGTAAGTGTGTACAGGCTCGACCCCGGCCGATGGGTGAACGTGGCCAAGTGTCGGCCTGTCCGAGCACACGTGCAGTGGGTCACCCGCTGACTCGCAGGCGTGAACTGGTCAACCCCCCTGTCTTGTAGATCAGCTCCACTCACCAAGTTCGTAGAGAACGAGGGGAGGTAGAGACCTGACAGGGTGCCAGAGGGGGCTTCCGGGCACGGTAAGACAGTGGAGAAGCTAGCAAGGACAGGAACCCCAGAGGGGTCCGCCAGGGAGACCGCAACCGGCCGACTAAGCGGCGTAAGCGTGGTGCGGTCTCGAAAGAAGGAGCGGGAAGCACCCGAGTCAAGGGTGAAGGTGTGTAAGGTCTGAGCCGACGTAGTACCTGAGAGAGCAGACTCACCAGCACCTGGGGCAGCAGACGCACTAGCACCTAGAGCAGCAACCTCACCAGCACCTAGAGCAGCAGCCTCAATGCCCGGGTCAAGCGGAACACACAAGTAACAGTCACCCTCAGCACTATCAGACACAGCATACATGGCAGCAAGAATAGCATCATAATCAAGATCAAAGATAGCAACCCCCGCCCTAGATTGCTCTCCCCAGCGAGGGATCTCAGTGGCGTCAGGGAACTGGTGACGCCACGCGTCCGTCAGGCGGCCGAAGCAGCGCTGGGTGGAGTGCGGGCCCCCGCACTGCTCACGAGCGCGGTTGCTGGTACGGAGGACGTAGGTACAGGGACAAGTACCCCCACCACGCTGACGCGCAGCGTACCACTCACGAAGCCGCTGAGGGGACAGGGTCTCACGACTGCGCTGCTGCTGCTGGCGCGGACCACCACCGGACCCACTCTTCTGCGTAGAGCCACGACCAGCTCAACCGTTGCCGCCGCCGCCTCCGCCACCTCCGCCGCCTCCGCCACCTCCGCTCCCTCCGCCACCGCCGCCGCCTCCTCCGCCTCCACTGCTGCCACCGACACCTCCACCCCCGCCACCACTCCCACCACCACCCCCACCCCCTCCACTGCCTCCACCACCACCTCCACCACCCCCGCCAGCCCCTCCAGCGCCCTTGCCCCCTTTTCCCTTGCCGGTGCGGCGTCTCCCGCTAAGGGCAGACGCCGCGCCGACCGACTCGAAACCAACGAGGTCGGCCGCAGCAGCAGAAGCAACAAAGGGCAAGAGAGGGGAAGGGGAACACCCCTCAAAGACGGGGGTGCGAGGGTCACCACGAGAGGATCCTACAACGACTATGCTCTTCTCTGCTGCTAGGAGGCGCTCCTCGAGGAGGTCAACGGTGAGTGTGGTGGGGCAAACAGAGAAGAAGTGGTCCCTGAATAAGCGAAGGGAGTCAGGGAGCCGGGTGACTATGTAGTAGAGGTTGATGTATATGGGGGGGGGGGTTCTTGGCATAGAACTCAGCAGGAAGCGCAGCGCGGTAGCGAGTGTCACTAGTGCGAAGGTGCATAATGAGGTCAGCGACTGTGGGAAAGGAAGCAAGGTCAGGGAACAGGTAAGGCAGCATGAGGCGGCTAAGCGCAACAGTGGCAGGGGAGGAGTAGCGTGCAACTACATCGTCGTACAAGGTCTGAGCACTCTTGTACTGGCTAAAGTGCGCATGCTCAGTGGTCGGTAAGTGGCGACGCACAGCAAGACGGGCAGCAGCATCGTGTGTGGCCCACTGTGAGCGAACAGTGCTGTCAGCAGTAGCAGGCGGGGCAGGAGAGGCACCAGAGGTGAGATCGAACAGCGAGAATCCGTCAGCCCTATCGCACTGTAGGAACAGCTGGAGGTCATCGACCCAGACCTCAAAGTCAACATCACGACCCTTAGCATCAAAGGTAAGGACACTGGGGGTAGCCATGAATGCAGTGGCCTAGCAGGGAGGGATCTCACCAGTGCGAGTAAGTAGGGCCGGGGCGCGCCGGTAGGAACAGTAGCGGCTCAACGACAGGGCTGCTGGGCGGCTCAGCTGCTGGGCGGCTCGGCGGCTCGGCTGCTGGGCGGCTCGGCGGCTCGGCGGCTCGGGTGCTGGGCGGCTCGGCGGCAGGGCGGCTCGGCGGTTCAGCTGCTGGGCGGCTCGGCTGCTGGGCGACTCGGCGGCTCGGTTGCTGGGCGTTTCGGCTGCTGGGCGGCTCGGCAGCTCGGTTGCTGGGCGGCTCGGCGGCTCGGTCGCTGGGCGGCTCGGCGGCTCAGCAGGTGGGCGGCTCAGCGGTGAAGGGGCCGGTAGAGGCGGCGATGGAGCCGCTAGGGGCGGCAGCGAGGGCCGCTAAGGGCGGCGAGGTGGCCGCGAAGGGCGGCGACAGGGCCGCGAGAGGCCGCGAAGGGCGGTAAAGGGGCCGTGAAGGGCGGTGCAAGGTGCCGCGGAGGGTGGCGACGGGCCGTAAAGAGGCTGCGAGGGGCCGCGAAGGGCGGCGTAAGGGGTCGTAAGGGCGCCGCGAGGGGCCGGAAGGGGCCGCACAAGGGGCCGTAAGGGGCCGCAAGGGCGGCGCGAGGGGCCGACGGGCGACGCGAGGGGCCGTAAGGGGCTGTAAGGACGGCACGAGGGGCCGTAAGGGCGGCGCGAGAGGCCGTGAGAGGGGCCGCTAAGGGCGACGAGAAGGGGCCGTGAGGGGCCGTGAGAGGGCGCGACGGTAGGGAGGGCACACGGGGCGCGACTCGGGCTGGAGCAAAGCGCGCTCCGGGCAGGAAAAGAAAATCGTGGTGGGCCCTAGGAAGCGTTCCCACTTGGGAACCTGCTCCATACCATGTGAAGAAGTGAGGAATGAATGAACTGGGAAAGAGGTGGGTACAAGTAGGAAAACCTAGAAATGTTGTACCCCATATTGTCTACCCCACTACAGCCTACACAGACTATAGCATATGAGTTTGACACCAGATCCCCCTGCACCCCCTGCTCCTCCTGCTCCTCCTGCGCCTCCTGCTCCACCCGCTCCTCCCGCACCTCCCGCTCCTTCAGATCCGCCTGAGTCTGTTACGGTAGGTGCTCACCAACGGTCCGTGCTCCAGCTGTATTTACCAGCCACGTTTGACGAATGGTTGGCTGAAGCGGACACACCCAAGGCCCCTGATGCACGCATCCAAGCTCCGACGCCTGCACCACGGTGGGGACAACCAGAAGCCTGCGCGTGGGATGAGTCGGCTGTAGGCGCCAACGATGATGTGGCCGCTGAGAAACACGACACCGGCGCCGACGAAGCTGGAGGCGACGGTGCAGCGGGCGACGAGGAAGACGTGTTCCCAGACCGTGACACAACTGCCGAGGACGATAACGGTGTGGAGTCCTGGTGGCGCGACGCACCACGCGAGAAGATGCCGATACCGACGTATCCGCCCATTAACAAAAACGCCCCCACTCGTCTTCCGAGAACCGAGATGCCCGCCCCCCCTCCCCCAGGCACAAGCAGACTCAACATAAGCGGCACTCCTACACCGCCGAGGAGAAATTGAGATGGCTCGTGCGGCTCGAGCTTGTGGCATTAGTGAGCGAAGTGGCGCGGGAGAACGGCATACACCGAAAGTGCCTGACAGAGTGGAAATCCCAAGCGGATCCGCTGAAGGCTGCACACGGCGCACGGATGCGACTTCACGGGCGCGGGAGGTCGTCTTGGTACTGACCTATGGAGTTAAAGGTGTACGCGCAACTCCTCGACTGGCGACGCCGCGGAGTTGCGGTTTCGGTCGGCCGGCTGCAAGAGTGGTCCAAAGAAGTGATGAAGGTGCTGTTCCCTGACGTCTAGTGGAAAGGCAGTCAGCGATGGACGGAGCGCTTCCGCAAGCGGTGGAACCTCAGTGTGCGCATGAAAACAAAGGTGGCGCAGAAAGCACAGTAGCGCAAGTGGTTCTTTAACCGTTGATTTCGATGAATCCCGAGTTTGCTTTTCTGCTTTGTTGCCTGTCTCTTGTGCGCGATACTAATCCGGCTCCCTATGTGTCCTTCCCTCCATGTGCGCAGACGTGGAGGTGCAGTGCAAAGACTTCTTGCAGTACGTACGAGACGCCCAGAACGAATACGACATTGACAACCGTTACATCATCAACGCCGACCAGACACCGCTGTGGTTGGAGATGCCGGCGACGACCACCATGGAGCAGACGGGCGTGAGGTTGGTGCCCATCCGCAGCGGTGGGTACCAGAAGGAGAGAGTCACCATGATGCTTGCATGCACGGCGACGGGCGAGAAGTTGAAGCCGTGGGTGTTTTTCAAGCGCAAGACATTCCCCAAGGGTGACTTCCCGAACAGTAAGATGTTGATGCGCATGTTTTTACTGTTAAACCGGAGTCGTTCTAACCCGTCGATCTCCTGCGTGCAGATGTTATGGTCGGCTGCAAAGCGAACGGGTGGATGGAGGCCGCGGGCGTCATCAAGTGGCTCGATGCGGGCGTGGTGCCGTTATTGAAGCCGAAATTCGGCCTGCAGAGTCGTAGCGCCATGCTGGTGCTCGACTCCTACCGCGGTCACCTAGCACCCGAAGTCAAGGCGAGACTCGCGGCGCTCAACATCGTGCATGCGATCATCCTGGCGGGATGCACGGCAGACCTGCAGCCGCTCGATGTGTCGATCAGGAAGAGCTTCAAAGCAAGCGTTTGTCAGCAGTATCAAAATTGGTTTGAGCAGGACGGCATGAACATCTTGACCTCGGCAGGTGAGTGACGACATGTCCTACCGTCTCCAAATCGTGTGCTTGTATGCCTGTTGATGCACTTATGTTTTCCCCGCCCCATTCCGTGTGATGCAGGGAACATAAACCACCTCCGGAGGTGGTGCTCAAGTGGATTTCACGGGCGTGGAAGGCTGTGCCCGTCGACCTGATCAAGAAAGCCTTCCTCACGTGCAGCATCAGCAACGCCCTTGACGGGAACGAAGACAAACTGGTGTTGGCGCACCGGAGAGGCCAGTTGTCCCATGAGGTGGAGGTGGACGATGACATCCAGGCAGATGGGTTCTGGGGCAACAACTCCACGGAGCCTGAGTCGGACGAGGAGGAGGAATAGGCCAAAGGCAGGCCCTCAGATTCACTTTTAGGGTCGTCAACCCATCAGGGTCCCCCTGCACGTTAACTCTGATTGACAGTGTTCCAAAAAATAAAAAGCCTGAAATGACAGTGTTGCGTTTGTAAAAAGCCTGATGCATCAGTGTACCACTAGTAAAAAGGCTGTCACTGACGCGTCGCAGGTGATGGCAATGGGGCAGGATCCTTGGCAGCCCTCCAGCACTACATGGTGGCCACGTTCGGATTCGCCAAGACTGACTGCTGCAGTGAAACGGCCCAATGGTGTGAGGCGCCGTGCCAACAAAACACCTCTGAACGTGAAGCAGAGGCAGAATTTCACAGGTTGGCCTCGCCACGGGGTGCTTACAAATCGGGAATCTGAAATTCCATGTAATTGCGGTCAAATCCACATGGCACAGGTAAGAATCGCTTCAGTGCTGGTTTCGTTACAACGCATGTGGCATCAGTGTCCTAGGGGAAAAAAGTCTGAAATTTCAGTGTGGCCTAACAAAAAAGGCTGAAAGATCAGTCCCTAAAAAATCTCAACACAGACTTTTCAGGGTAGGTAAAAAAAGGACTGCCAAAATCAGGAATTTCAAGGTTTTTTTCTTGATATCTGAGGCCCTGGCCATAGGGTAGACTAGACAAGTTGAAATGTGTGTACGCAGAAAAGCAGAGACCACTAATGGAAAGATTAGAAAATGTAGGATACCGTAAGCCCCCGGATAGAAGCGCAGGCCTCGGATAAGCGCCGGTGCTTATAAAAGGATGAGGGCGCTTGTATCCGGTCCTCGATTATAAGCGCACCCCTAAAGGCTTACGGATTATAAGCGCCACCCTCTGAATTATTTTTAATATTTTTACTGGAAACGCTGTAACGAAACACAATTTTTGCATCCCAACATTCAGAATTTCGAATCCCTTCACCATCGCGCGACTCAATGCCTTCGCGTCCAGTCAGAATGACCTGTCATGGGGTTAATCTGACTCATTCTGACTGTGCGTGTTGTCAGAGAATCAGCCACTGCCAATTTACGTGAGATTCACATTCCAGCCCCCTACAATATCGATTCGATTCAAATCGCAAGGACGAGATGAACACTTTGGTGTAAAAAAACTAGATTTCATATATGTCATTTTATAAGCCCCGGCGCTTATAAAAATCCTCAATTATAAGCCCACCCCCTAAAAAACAGTGTTTTTTTATAACTCCAGGGGCGCTTCTATCCGGGGGCTGACGGTAGGTTGTTTAAAAAAACATTTTCTTTTAATACAAAGGGTGCGCTTATAACAAGTACTGATTTCTCAGGGGGTGCGCTTAGAATTGAGGATCGGCCATAAGCGCATTGCTCCAGATACGTACAAGCGCATGCGCCTTTAATAGGCCTGCGCTTACATCCGGGGCCATACGGTAGCTTTCTGCTTGTTGGGCTACCAAAAAGCCCTTTCTGAAATGAGGATACGGTATCATCGTTATTACCTGAGCACTTCTTCAACCTTATGTGACGCAAGCACTTCAACCTTACGTAACGCACCGTAATATATTGTAGACTTGAAAATTCAGCTCCTGCTCCATTCAAAGATTTGCAACACATACATAGACAAGACAGCAGCTATTTACAATGGTGGAATGACAGTAGTAGTGGTGCTGTATCTGTTCCTGCCTTTTGTGTGCACTGGCCGTGCTGGTGCTGGTGCTCGTGCTCGTGCCAATTCTGGCTCTGTTGCCAGCGGCAATAGAGGTGGTGGTGGTGGTGGTGGTGGTGCTGCTGCTGCTGCTGCTGCTGCTGCTGCTGCTACTGTAGGTACAACCGCCGTAGCTACAGCCGGGCTACAGCCGGAGATACAGCCAGAGGTACAGCCAGGCTACAGCCAGAGTTACAGCCGAAGATACAGCCAGAGCTACAGCCAGAGCTACAGCCAGAGCTACAGCCAGAGCTACAGCCAGAGCTACAGCCGGAGCTACAGCCGGAGCTACAGCCGGAGATACAGCCGGAGATACAGCCAGAGGGGCACTGCACACGTCAAGGGGGGCGGGTTTATCCCCGTCCTCGAACGCCATCCTCAACAGCCCTCCTGTCAGTCTGATCCTAATCTCAGGAGCACTCTCCCACTCCTGTAAATGCCGCTCATCTCACTCGTTTGCACTGTGCTCAGAGCAAGACCATTCTGTTTGTATCCTTTACTGAGCTAAAGAATAGGTCGTTTCCTGCTTTTCACCCCCCCACCCTTCTTCTCATTTGCTCCCCTCTCTTGCAAATTATTCAGCCCAACCCCATCATCCAGCAACATGCCTGGGCTAGGCTTGGCAGCGCGAGGCCTGTCGTTTCTGGCCTCGCGGGCAGCGGCTGCTGCTGCTGTCGTTTCTGGCTGCTTCTGTCTCCTTTCCCGCGGATGCTCTGCCTTTTGCTGTTGCTGCTGCTTCTGCTGCTTCCAAAGCTCCAGCTACTCTTGCTGCTGCTGTAGCTTCAGAAGCTGCTGCTCCTGTTGCCACTGCTGCAGCTGTCGTGCCTCCTTCGTAGCTTCCTCCTCCTCCACCTGAGCATACTCATGACCCCGCCAGGGCAGCTGCTGCTGTAGCGTATGAGACATTGCCCCATGCTGCTGTGTCTGCTGCTGTGGCAGCTGTGCTGCTTTTGCTGATGCTCGCTCCCCCTCAATCACCTGTGCATGCTCGTGGGCCTGCCGGTGCAGCTGCTGCACTGGAGTCTCAGGCTGCTTCTGTTGCTGCTGCTTTTGTTGCTGCTGCAGCTGAAGAGATGCTGTTGCATTTGGTGATGCCCGCCCCTCCGCAATCACCTGTGCATGCTCATGTCCCTGCTGAGGCACTTGCTGCAGTGGGTGCTGTGTCTGCTGCTCCTGTTGCTGTTCTTGCAGCAATTGCAGCATTTGCTCATTCTCACGCTCTTCCTCTCGTGCTGCCCTTGCTGCTTCTCCCCCTGCCTTTAACACGAGCTGCTGTTTCACCTTCTCCCCCTCCCGAATCGCCTCATTCACGGCCTGCCTTGCCTGCTGTTGTGCTGACTCATACGACTGCTGTTGAGGTTGCACCTGCTGAGACGACAGCGGTGGTGGCAGTTGCTGTGGCGGCACCAGCGGTGGCTGTTGTGGTGGTCGTCGTTGCAGCAGCAGCTGTGGCAGGTTGGCGGCATGGATGGCATTCAGCCAAACGTTGAGCATCCAGTGGTCAAACAGGACAAAGTGCACCTGCGGGCAATGGGGCATGTGACAGATAAGAGTGCAGAGGATAAGTGGGATCATGAAGAATGAGCTCCCACCAGCAGCAGCAACTCGTGAGAATATCTCACGTGAGTGGTCTTGGGACATATTCTCAGCGTGTGAGTACGTACTTCATGTGTGTACCTCATGTGAGTACGTACTTCATGTGTGTACCTCATGTGAGTACGTACTTCATGTGTGTACCTCATGTGAGTACGTACTTCATGTGTGTACCTCATGTGAGTACGTACCTCATGTGTGTACCTCATGTGAGTACGTACTTCATGTGTGTACCTCATGTGAGTACGTACCTCTTGCACTGACCCCCACGGTTGGCTCAACAGAACGTTCAGAGCAGCTTGGGCGCCCTTCACAGGCGGGTAACTGAACAGAGAAGCGAGGAGGAAAAAACACGGAGGGATAAATAACACAAAGATACACACCCACACCAAAAAGGGCAAATGCAGAGTATTATGCAGAAACAAAGTTATGAATTAAAGTTTGAGCCTGTTTATACGACGGATGTTAGATCAAAGAGTGTACCAGAAAATGCAGACGAAATCATGGATAGGATTGAACCTCGTGCTTGTAAAGAGGATGGATTGTACCCGAAAATGCCGCACGATATTGCGGGGATGGCGATATACTTGACACCGCACTTGTTGGCTTCTCTTAGAATGCTCCTGCGCATGAGTGAGAGCAGAAACGAAGTAGACACAAGGATGGGTGGGAGGATGGGAGGATGAGTGGGTAGGTTGATGGATTCATGAGTGAGAGGTTGCGTGAGAGGGTGAGGGAGTGAGGTGTTGAGTCCGAGCATGCACATGGTGCAATTTGCTGTGTGTGCTTCATGGACAGCACAGCACAGCACACACCTGTAGGCAGACCCACCACATGAATATGTGCACACACCAGGGCAGAGCACAGCACAGGACCACACCGCACAGCACCGCACAGCACACACCTGTATGCCTCTTTAAGCACGGGTGCTGACACTCTTTCGGTCAAATACACGGGCCCCACCGCATGAATTACATAGCGCACTGGTAGGCTTGCTGCCCTGCAGTGTGAAATGAACAAGTGGTGGGAGCAGAGACAGAGAAGAGGAGGGAAGAGAGCTTGAGAGTAAGTTTAACCACTAAACAAGTGACTCACTACAACTCGTTCAGTCACTGTGGTCACAGCATCCCCTGCTTGTCAGGGATCGCCATTTCTCCGCACTGGCAGGTCATAGCAGAGCTTTGGGAAAACATGCTCCTACTCCTACAGTCACCCACTCAAACGTCTCCCACGCCACACCCTCAGTCATTACTACAGTCACTCACCCTGTGGTCACAGCATCCCCTGCTTCGCACCGATCACCATTCCTCATCATGGGTAGGTCGTGGCAGAGCTTCAGGAGGGCTGGGCCTGCTGCCCGGTGGATGGCTGGTGCGAGGGGAGGGGAAATTAGGAGAGAGAGCGGAGAGAGGAAGAATGAGAGGTAAACAGAGGGAACAAGGAAGCAGGTCGTGGCAGAGCTTCAGGAGGGCTGGGCCTGCTGCCTGGTGGATGGCTGGAGAGGGGAAGGGGGGACATGAGGAAGAGGGGAGAGCGGAGAATGAGGCGTGCAAGTTGACATGATGATAAGATGCGAGGAACGGCAGTACCGTGGCAGAGGTTCAAAGAGGCCAGCAGAGACGAGCTATGAGAGGAACGGAAATCCGGAAAGGAAATCCCTCTTCGAACCCTTATTTTTGCAGCATGGTCGGTAAGTCGACGTTGCAGGGAGTTTTTTGAGAATTCTCAAAAACTCCTCTGAGAGGAAAGGAAATGAAATCCCTCTTCGGATCCTCATTTATGCAGCATAGTCGGTAAGTCGACATGATGACACGGCTCAGCAGACACCCTTAATGCCTTCTACCCGCTCTCCCTCCCAATCCCCTTAACGCTCTCCCTTTTGCCGCTCACCTCCATCCAGGCCGCCCCCACCAAGCACCGACTCGTTTGCCGCATTCACCTGCGTGGGGGCACGCAGGAGGAAGGGCGGGTGACACAGGAGGAAGGGCAGGTTTGGCTGGTAGGAAATGAGTTGTACCAGCTCACGTTATACCCTCTTGCATTTACAACTCGCTCTCGCCTCGCTTGCACTCACCAGAGCATACCTAAGTGCCCCGGATAACCCCATGGTGCCAGCACATACACTCCCCCAATGCAGTAACCCCAAAATCCAACAGCATGCCAGCTGGCAATCAATCACTCCAGCTTGTATCAAATATCGGACCTCCTTATAGTGAGTTCCACCTCCCTGCACTCACAATAGCATCACCCTTTGCTTCATCTCACCTGGCTGAAAACCTCGTCACACCTGTCCTCCTTACAGTCATCCCCCTTATAGTCACCCTCTTTACGACTCACAATGGCATCGCTTGCTCCGTCAACACACCACTTGGTGATATCCCCCCGATGCACGATCAGTATTCGATAACCCAATGCACGAGCAGAGGGCGTGTGAGTGCTGGCAGGATGGGAAGGAGAAGGAGTTTTCCTGCTGGCAGCAGCATGGGAGGCAGGAGGCAGAACTGCAAACGCAGCTGTGTCAGAGAAAAGATACGCCTGCGACTGGTGCATGGTGTATGGGGGGAAGGACCGGTCGAACCGAGGAGCTGGAGCTATATCAACAGCAGCAGCAGCAGCAGCAGCAGCAGCAGCAGCAGCAGCAGCAGCAGCAGCAGCAGCAGCAGCAGCAGCAGCAGCAGCAGCAGCAGCAGCAGCAGCAGCAGCAGCAGCAGCAGCAGCAGCAGCAGCAGCAGCAGCAGCAGCAGCAGCAGGAGCAGCAGCAGGAGCAGCTGCAACAGGAGCAGCAGCAGGAGCAGCTGCAGCAGGAGCAGCAGCAGCAGCTGCTGTTGCTTCAGTTGCTGCATCACCCCTGCTGCTCCCTCCCCCTCCAAACCACGTGTAATCCTGCTGCTCTCCAACAATAACCTCCCCAGGAGATCCACATAACCTCCCCAAGCTTCTTCCAACGGCTCCCCAAAACTCATCCCACACCTCCCTCCATCCTCCCCCTCCGCTTCTTGCTCCCTCTGCATCCCAACGCCCTTGGAATCTGCGGGAAATCATCTGCGGGGAGTGCTGAAACCTCTGTGTCGGATACGTCTGGCGCTCCCTGTTATCCCGAAGAGGCGAGCCCAAGAGTCCCCCTCCTCTTCCACCTTCAACACCCCTTGCTCCCTCTGCATCCCAAGGCTCTTGGAAACTGCCGGAAATCATCGATGGGAAGTGCTGAACCCCCTGAGGGGAATACGCCGGGCGTTCCTCGTTATCCCCTCGAGGCGAGCCCGAGAGTCCGCCTCTCCCTCTTCCTCTTCTGCCCCCTGACCCGTCTGAGCCCCGGTGCTCCTCAAAACTGTCAGCACGCATCTGCGGGGAGTGATGCAACCTCGAGACCGAATCTTCGCCACACGGCAACTTTTGTCCCCGTTTTCGTCGCATCTGCGGGGAGTGAGGCAACCTCCGTGGGGAACACATCTGGTTTTCCTCCTCGTCGTGCTCGTGCTCTTGAGGCGAGCCCAAGAGTCCGCCTCTCCCTCCTCCTACTCCGTCCTTTGCTGCGTCTCCAGCCCAACGCTCTTCAGAACCGTGAGCACGCGTCAGCTGTGGGGGAGACATCTGGTGTTGCTGGTCGTATCCGCCAGGTGGGGACAGCTGTCCACCTCTCCCTCCCCCTCCCCCACCTCCTCCTCCTCCACAGCCTCTTGCCGCATCTCCACCCCAGCGCTCTCCAGAACTGCTGGGAGGACTCAGCTGTGGGGGAGACATCTGGTGTTGCTGGTCGTATCCCCCAGCGGGGAGCAGCTGACCACCCCTCCATCCCCCTTCACCTCCTCCTCCTCTTGCCGCATCTCCACCCCAGCGCTCTCCAAAGCTGCGATGAAGCGTCAGCTGTGGGGGAGACATCTGCTGTTGCTGGTAGTCCTCTTGAGTAATGCCCAAGCGCCGTCCCCCTTTCTTCCTTCCCAATCCCTCCCGACTCCCCTCCTCACTCCCCACTCTCCTCACTCCCCACTCTCCTCTCTCCTCTTCTCCTCCCGCACCAACATCCTCCCTCCCGTCTCTTCTCCGCTTCATATCTCCCGGCCCTTCCCCTCCACCGTATTCCTCCCCTGCAACAGATATCTTCACAGGGGAATAACCTTGGGTCTGTGAGTGTGCTCCAGTCTTGTTGTGAGGCGCCTCAACAACAGTCCCTCCCCCTCCACCAGAATCCTCCCCTGAAGCAGATGTCTCCTGAGAGGGATACCCTTGGGTCTCTGAGTGACCTTGAGTCTTCTGGTGAGGCGCCTCACCAATAATCCCTTCACCTCTGCCAGAATCCTCCCCTGTAACAGATGCCTCCACAGAGGGGAATTCTAACTTTAATCGTGACTGTAACCATTCTTCGGTGTAAGGTTGCCCTTCAGCCTGAATGCCTTCATCAGTCTCTGATCGTTCTTCAGCTCCTACTGCTGTTCTCTCTGCTTTCCCTGCGGCAACTGTTTCAGGGGCCTGAAAAGCAGAAGCTCTTGCTGCTGCTCCAGCAACGGGAGGAGCCTGGCTGTGAGCACGAAGACGAGGATCTATTTTGTGAGACAGAGACTCGCCTGGAAATTCTCCAAGAGGGGACGGAACCTTGCCGTGAAAAACGGAGTCAGCTGAATAAGATGAACCAGGCTGATTAAAATCCATGCTGTAAGACACTCAGGGTTTCAGGCCGCGCGGGAAATCCTTCAGAGGAGCGAAGTGCCTCCCAACCGCTTCAATATCGTCTAAATCGTTCGTTTTGCTGTTCAACCCGCGACGCAAGCGCACTCGTAGCGGTAGTCACCGCTGCGGCGACTTTTGAGAGAGCAGCAGGTGGGATAGCTGTGCATTATTTCGAGACTGTACTAGAATCTCGAGACGCATGTTTGCTAAGCCGAAGCGCATCTCGAGACTGGAAAATCTTGACAAGCCGCAGCGCATGTTGGGACCTCATCGGATTGCCAAGCTGTACCTCCGGTGAGGTCTCAACATGCGCTGCGGCATAGTAGAAGGACGTGTGGGTGGGCGTGGCGAGTGGAAGTGTGAGTGGAAGGGTGAGGGCGTGTCGAAGGCACGATGCATGGCTTTAAGACGCGGAGTAGTATGCAGGACGCACGATGTATGCAGAATGCAAACGACACGAGGCACGACGCGATGCATCATGCTGGCTTGACGGTGGTGTTTCGCGATTCGCAAATGGCCCATCCCAAAATTGCGTGGTCCTCAATCCGTCCCGAAACATATCTTGAAAGACACTTTCGGGACATTTTTGTCTTCAGGCGGTTATGCGGTACATTTCAAGATGTGCCAAAAATGTCTTGTGTCGTAATCTGCACAGGCCTGGGAAGGTTAGAACTGCAACGCGATCAGAAGACGCAGGTTCTTGCCCGTCGATGTCAGTTCCATTGCGTTGGGTTTAGATTTTGTTTATGATTTTAGTTCGTGTTGTACCCTTCTGGAATATTTCATAACGAAATATAAGTACACCACAATGTTTGTAAGGAATTTTCCGGATTCCTTACTGGGTCACACTGTACGCGTACAACTCCGACTTTCGGAAAACCAGGCTCGGCCCGCCGACCTCGCCTTCCGAGCCACCACCGCGTCGCTTTCGGGTTTTCCAACCCCGAACCTGCACCCAACCATCTCGCGACCCCGTGACCTTGGCCTAGCTAACCTTGCTATATTATGCCTAGGCCTCGTTGTTCGTTCAGACGTTGTAATCACTTCCGCACTATTGAGTTCTGCGCACTCTTTCCTTTCACAACTTATAACACTTGGTATCAGAGCCTAAAGTCCTAGGTTACCCTCGCGTTTCCGGGGTAGTTTGAAGAAGGGGAGTGATAGACTTGGTGGGCTGTTAAGCGGTCGGCCCGTGGAATAGATCTGATTATTCCACTCCGACTACGATAGCATTAACGCCTTCACAGAAGTCAGAAAAATCGCGAGCCACCCCCTGCCCGTTCGACGAAGCCTGAGGCACATGGAGCAGGTCGAGTTCAACGAGTTCATGCAACAGTTTCGTGCGATGCAGGCCAACTTGCAGGGTATGACTTCAGAGATGGAGCGTCTACGGAAGAAAACGCCGAACTACACCAAGGCGCGTGGTGAAGCGCGCCAGGAGTCGCCTGTCGTGGACGACGCAAGTAGCAGCACTACACCAGATGAGCGGGTCTAGAGCGAGCTAAAAGGCGAGATGGATGCGGACGAAGCGAGGCAGGCGCAACAGGAACAGTCGCCACAACAGTCGCGTGCAGTACCACCACGTGCAGCAGCGACGACGACGGCCCCGATGGCAGCAACGACTTTTGTGAAAATCATGAGAAGAAGTGAACGAGAATGAATGAACTATGAATGAAGTGAGTACAAATATGAAACCCTAATTGGGTTGTATCCCCTATGGGATACCCCACTATAGCCTACACAAATAAGTAAGCTATAATGTTCTGACACACCCCCATAGGCAAAGTGGGGGAGAACAAGGGGTCACAAGACCAGTCAAGCAAAGCAAAGCAAAGCTCAGGGTGGATCACAAAGTCACCACACATTCCGAGTACAAATTCAAGGGCCACAAGGCCAGTTCACATGCAAGATCATATATAGAGATATACAAGAGTCAAGCAAACAAGAGCAAGAGTATATATAGGTCAAGGTACAAACAAGGTCAAGAAGTGAGCAAGTGAGGCAAGACAGGCACAAGACCTAGCTGCGTGCAGCAACGCTGATGATCACAAGGCGTAAGTGCCTTGGTGAAGACATCAGCAGTGTTGGCCTCAGAGGCCACGTACGCAAGTCGCAACTGTCCACGCTGCTGTAGCTCACGAGCAAGAAAGTAGCGGAGAGCAATGTGCTTTGTCCTGTGCTCCAGACGCTGCTCTCGACACAAGGCCAGCATGGCCTTGTTGTCTACGTACAGGACTGGAGGAGAACGAGGCGGCTCTCCAAGGTCGGTCAGCAGGTAGGTGAGCCAGCGAAGCTCCTGAGCAGCCATAGCCCCGGCGTAGATCTCAGCCTCACAGCTGGAGCCGAGAACAGAAGACGAGCGAGTAGCCCGCCACGAAACAGAGCCGGAACCAAGGCCGAAGATGTAACCCTGTGACGACCGCTGCGTAGCCTGGTCGTCAGCCCAAGAAGCGTCCGCGTGCCCAGTGAGGACCACTGGACTGCGCCCTCCAAGCACTAGCCCCATGCCCGGCGTACTGCACAAGTAGCGCAACACCCTCTTCGCTGCAGCCATGTGCTCTGGTCGGTGTCTCCCAGGAGCAACATAGCGTGCGAGAATGCTGAGAGGGTATGCAAGGTCAGGTCGTGTGCAGGTCATCAGGTACATGAGGCAGCCAACAAGCTATGGATACGGGCCACTCGACTCTACGGACTCATCCGAAGGCAGAGCTGAGAGCGAGTGGCGAGTAGGCAGAGGAGTGGCCTGAGGCAAGGAGTACGTGAAGCCGAAGCGCTGAAGGACCTGCTGCACCATATGTGACTGAGTCAGGGTAATGGTGCGCTGTGCTCTGTCCCGGGTGATCTGCAAGCCAAGGTAGCTGCGCAGTTCACCCAGGTCTGTGCACGTGTGTCTCTTCTGCAGCTCGGACTTCACGTAGGCGAGTCCAGCAGTGTCAGCTTGTGGCAAAGACCAAGTCGTCGACGTACACGAGGATGTAGAACGGCGGCAGAGAGGTGTCGGTGCGCAGAAACAGCGACGGGTCGGCAGTAGAAGGAGCAAACCCAAGTGCCGCAAGCGTAGTCCTCAGTGTGTCGTGCCACTCACGTGGCGCCTGGCGGAGACCGTAAACTGGACGCCGAAGACTCCACTGGGTACCAGGAGGGAAAGACCCAGAGAAGCCAGGTGGGCGACGCAGCCAGATCTCCTCGTGCAGGCTACCCTGCAAGAAAGCAGTGCTGAAGTCGAGAGAGTGCAGCTCGTAGTCACGGTGAGCAGCAATCGTGCAGCAGTACCCGAAGAGTGGTCATCTTCGAGGTGGGGGAGAAGGTCTGAAAGTAGTCAACTCCCTGCCGCTGACTGAAGCCACGAGCCACGTAACGCGCCTTGAAGACAGGCGGAGAACCCGGCGGCCGCTTCACCCTGGAGATCCACATGCCACTGACGATGTTCGCCCCAGGGAGGGGGAACAGCGTCAACGTAGGTGCCTGTGGACTTCCAGGAAGCCATCTCTGCATCCATAGCTGCCTGCCACTGAGAGGAGTAGGGACCCTCTATCGCCTCCGCGTAAGAGCGCGGAGTCGGGATGTCTAGTGCATCCGGGTCTCCCTCAGGGGCGAGCAGTAAAGACGCGAGATGAGGTGAAGCGGCGGCCAGACACTGGAACTCCTCCTGCCTGTCCTCAAGGACGTCCGTGCCTAGGGCACACTCACCCCCGACGGAAGGAGGACAGGCAGACTCAGACTCAGCGACAAGACTAGCAGCGTAGTCCAGACGACAGCGCGCAGCAAAGTCGACAAGCTCAGTGACAAGGGCAGACGCAGCAGCAAGACTCGAAGGAAGGGTCAGTGACAGCAGTAGCAAGGAGACGCGTGACAGTGGGACTGGCAGCACGAAGAGAGTCCGACTCCGGGTCGGCAAGAGCAGGAAGAGAGGACTGAGGAGGAGAAGGCAAAGGAGCACGCAGAGGAGCAGTGGACGGACGCAGAGACATCCGGTGCGTGCCAGGGACAGGAGGAGGACGCTGACGCGAACCGCGACCACTAGTGCGTGCAGGACGAACATGCGACGCAGGACGAGACGCAGTCTCACGACGCTCAGTAAGACCTCCAGTCGGACCAGCGTAGGGAGAAGGAGCAGGCAAAGGGGAGGCAGGCTGTAGCTGTGACTGGGACTGGACAGGCTGTGGACCCTCGAAGGGAGGCGGAGGAGGACCAGGAGAAGGTGTAAGACCAAGAACCTGCTGCAGGAGTGGAACGAAGTACG